AGGGGTGAAAGAGCAAGGGAGGAAAGTTTATCTAAAACATTATTTATTTATTTATTTATTTATTTTTAGAAAAACATCAACACTGGCTTAGAATTGGGTTTAGATGTGTGACATGTACGCCCCCTCCCTCCCAAAACAAAAAACACGATCAGCTGATCAGAATCACAATCAGCTGACGGCCATAAAAATGTTTAGACAACTGAAAGACTTGTTGAAGGCATTTAATTGTACGTACAGAAGGTAATTACTTTATATTGTGATATATTCATTATAATTCAGAAATAATTTTATATGGACAGTTGTCTCGAATACTTTCTTTTTTTTTTACCTGATTTACAATACACATTTTGTGTTGTTGCTGATGAAGCTATATTGGCCTTTTTTTAAAATTCAGAGACTGCACACTGATTGGAGGGGGGGATTTGACTCAAATAAGGTTAAAAGTTAAATGTTTTGAAAAAGTGCAGGTGTATTTACAAGTGTAAAATTGATCATCACTTTTTTTGTGCTTCATGTCCTACTTTTTTTAAGACCCTCTTTGTCCTCGGCTGTCTATCTTTCCACTGCATCACAGTAATTTCCCGTCACAAATAGACCCAGATGCTCATAAAATGATGGCCCACTATGGTAGATGGTACATTGCTGTTAATTCACTGTCTGGAAAATCTGTGGTGTCACTGGGTTCGTTGCTTATTGATTTTCTGAAGAAGGAAAAAACCAAAAAAAACCAACGTGCTTTTGTTAGATGATACGGCACCATTAAACTTTTATTTTTGTTTGCATTATGTTGCTCTAATAAATCAGATGCATGCGAGCGTCTTGTCTGGAAGAGTGGCTGTATTTGGGGTATAGAATTATCTTCTCACTTCCTCTTGTGCGAACTTAATAAAAACTGTATCGACCGAGCAACGGGAATACCGCATGCTGTAATAGCAAACTGGGGAATTACTCAAAAGTATAGCCTGTGTGTGTCATAAAATGCAGAAAGTCCCTGCACCCCTGACTGGTGTTTAAAATTTGAGTGGATGGAGAACATTGCTTTTATGTTCACATCAAAGTGTAATTGTAGTGTTATGACAGTTTTTGGTTTCGGTCCTCCTGTTCCTATAAATGTTTTCCCTTATCCACTTCTGCTGGTCTAAACTGCCATGGAGTTACCACTGTCCCGTTATTGACCTTCATGAAGGGCTGAACATCACTGGCATGTTAAGTGATCATGTGAAGGGGCTGTTAGTCGTGTTCCCTCGACAACACACACAGACATTATTGTCCCTCTGCAGGCATTGTCACCAACTTCTGCTTATACAGCCAACCTGCTGAGTGAAAGCGGTGTATATCGATCCATGGCGACACGCTGCTGTAGTGCGTGTGCGAGAGTGTGTGTGAGTGAGAGAGAGAGAGAGAGATGGAGATCGTCTGGGCTTCTCTTAGCTCCAGATCAATACTGTCCTGCTGTCCCCCAGGAGGCTTGATGAGAGCCCAGAGAAAGCGAGAACAACCTTGACTCAGTCTTCCAGGGCATCGCATTAAATGAAATGCTACCAACAAGCTCTCTGGTGATTAGCAAGCTTCACATAATGCATGAGCAAAATTAAAAGTAACACTTTCTCTGTTTCTGTAAAGCAGTAGTGAACAGGAAATACAGTCATGTAAGAAGTCTGGAGGCAAGACGGAAGACAAGGTTTGCACTTGATGTGTGTGCTTGGCTGCAGATGGTCTGCAATAGGAGTTTATGAGGATATGGGTTTTTGAGGAGTGAGGCTGACAAGATATTATAATATTTTAAAACTATACTGCAGCAAGAACTCAGCCATATAGAGCCATTTCATGTAATAATTTATATAACTTCCATTGCTAAGTGCTGCTGTAATTTTGAGTAATTGTTGTGTTACTCTGTTATTTGTCAAAGCACATTTGCTTTTGTATAATTTGCCCTGTTGTTAATACCATATTATACCAAATTTCCCCTCATGGACCAAATTTCCCCTTGTGGGACAATTAAAGGATTATTCTATGCTGCTTTTTATAGCTTCTTTTTAATGTTTAGATTATTTGAGTGATTTAAAAAATACAGGTAGTAGGTTTTGGGTTTTTATATCTTAAAATTTGAATGTGCAGTGAAGTGTTTCATCTACAGATTTACCCACTCGGAACGTTTTCTTTTCATATGGTAAAGAGGCCTATGATATATTTGAATGGTGGAGGGATAATTTGCCTTAGAGTTTAAACTTGGACAGTGTGAATGGTATGTATGCGTACTGTGTACTAAAGAGAAGGGGACAGCAGCACAGCTTAATGGGCTGTCACATCCCTCAGTGCACACCTCAACACACTGACCCACTTTGACGCATCTGCGGCATGCTTTTCAAATGCATCAAGCCCCACTTCTGCTAGGCAAAGCAGAAAGCACATGTCTGTACTGAGCATGTAGACCGTGACGAAGAAGAGGTACTGCAGTTTTTATCATAAAGCACAGCGGAGGAGAAAAAGACTTGTTTTCAAATGACTGTGCGCTTCAGAGGAAATGCTTCCATTATTGTTTGCTTGCTAACAAGACCTCCCTTGGAGAGAGAGAGAGAGACACACACACACACACTCACTCACTCACTCACTCACTCACTCACTCACTCACTCACTCACTCACTCACTCACTCTTAATGTTTAATAGTGAGAACAGATTGAGAACCGATGCTCGGCCTGCAGGACTGTTGGGTGTCAAAGAAAAGGCCTTTAGTTCTTTAGACGGAGACTGGCAGGGTCGGCTCAGTGTTTCTGTTAACACTAAATGCTACACAGTCTCGTGTGATCCTTTATTCAGTCTCACAGCTTGTGACCTTTCCTCAATCACACAGATCCGTGTTGGTCCTGCACATACCCATTGTGCTCATTTCCAACTCCCTCTTTTTATTCTTGGACTTCACTGGAGTAGCTTTACATGATTGTTCTAAAGAACTTTTTTTTAAATTTAAATCTTACCTTGAGTGCCCCCCCCAAGTTTATCCATCGTCTGAAACAAGCCTTTTTAGCCCTGTTCCTAAGATAGTTTGCACCTTCCTTTCTTCTTCTTATTGTAAGCATACATACAACAAAAGTAAATGGGACACATATGTGAGTCAACTCTCTGCATGGAGTATTTTAATGCCAGGTGTTTACTGTTTCCATGATGCTGGGCCATCTGGGATGCACTGCTACAGATTTGTCATGGGTGTCTTACACAAAACATCTTACGTCTAGAGCAGTTCCATGGGTGTATGGGTACTGTAACAGAGTTACAGCCACCCCATGTATATATCATATTTTCACCAGATTAAGACGTGGAACTTTCCGTGCTTCTAACGAATGAATGACTAAAATAATCTGATTATCAATAGTTGATAAATTTTCGCCTCTCACTCCACTCCCACAAACTATCACGTGCAGCGCAAACCCTCATATTTATTTATCTTAGTGTATGTTTGCATTTCTTACTAATCAGTGCTTCCAGCTTGAATATATAATGCTGCCATAAATTAAGGTTGAGGTGAGGATTAAAAGGACAGGAGATGAGCAGTTTAAGCAGGACCTAGGACATGTCAAATGGAGGTCATGGAAGACCTGTTTTCATGGCTGCTGGAGGTAGGAATGCAAAAGGTCAGTGCACGATGTGGAATGCGTCGTCACATGCACAGATACGCTGGCATGTGCATGACGACAACACACACAAAAACACTCGCTAATACGCATTATGCCCTTCAGTACTGAGGCAGCCTGGGCCTTTTGTGTGTGAACTGCAGTATGTGAATGTCAGAAGGTAGTCTGGAATTCAGTGAATACAAGGAGGGAGAGGCAGCCAATTCACAGAGCGAAGTCTGATTGAACGCCACTTGCTATGCAGTCTTATGAGTCACATTTAGCTTAACGACACGTCCTCTTCTGCAAGCTCCAACACGAGTAGTTCTACTTTCTGTCACTCTTCCTCTTCTTATTCCAGTCGTGCCCTCTGCAAGGTTTATACTTGTGATGTTGAGACGTCAGCCCGTCTTGTTCCCACACACACACACACACACCTGTGCCTTATTAGTGCGCACATGTTTTTCTGCCAGCTGACATTATAAACATTCCCTGGGCTTGAACCTCAGAAAGCCCAGCATTATGACACGCCTATGTGGAGTTATGTCACCAAACACGGCACATTTCAGCTCAGCTGACTGTCAGGTGTGTCAGACACAAGGACATTTAAATCAGGAGCACCAGCTAGTTGGGATTGGATAGGGTAAGGCAATGAGTCAGAAGTGATTGTTAATAGCGGGAGGTGTGGATATCGGAAGAAGCTGTAAAACTAGATGTAAAACTAGATGTAAACTAGCTAGGATGGTTATGGTTAAGGAGTTCTAACAGGACAAAATGAGTGACAGCAGATGAGCAGAAACCTGCTGTTATCAGAGGCTGTTTACACTGCTCTGGGTTGATAACACTTTGACTATAACACGCCGAGGACAGATGTGAGAGCTTGTTAAAGCTGTGTACACAGATGCTATTTCTGTCTTCCTAGCACAGAGATGTTTGTATGTATTTATTTATTTTTTATATTTAACGAGCTGTGTGACGCAGGGGGGGGGGGAAATGAAACCCAAGTGAGACAAACATTCATTGTCTTATTTATTTGATTTTAGGTATTTATTTGGGGTCATGTCTTTATAGGCTTATGTTAGCCAAAGTTTGAAGTTTATTTTCGATTATGATAATCTTAATGTAGTGTTAGGGAAAGGTAACAAACAGAAATACTGAAGATCGTTATAACCTGGAGGGAATAGGAGATATACCATGCTCCAGTCTAGCACAAGCTTTTATTGCTTATCGTAGTGAGACACCTACTGGCTGATGTGAGTTATGGAAAGAGTCTGGAGGCACAGAGGGAGACAGGATTTCCACTGTGTGGGTTTTTACTCGTGTTCAGAACAATCATGGTGCTTTTTCTTCTTTCCCCCCTTATTTCTTTTGTTCCTGTCTTTCACACACAGACAGCAGAGACCAGCCTTGGAGAACGATAAAACTCGATAGACAGACGAAAGCAGAACAACAGCCTAACTTCACTTAAAGCATTATGTACATCTGACACCCATCTGGTAAGTGTGGCTTTTTTTTTTTTCTTTTTTTTCTTTAAAGAATGTCTAGCTTTTTACGTTGCCTGAGGATCAATTAAATTTTTTATTTTAATAAGTCTATGAAAACATAGATTGATGCTTAACCTCACAAGTGATATTTTTAATAAATGTCTAATTTGAACCTAGATAAAAGGGCAACACACACATCGGTATTGGGCCAGGAAATAAGATAATTACAGATGTAGTATTTTTATATACAGCAGACTCAGACTTGTAAACACAGGCCAGCTATTGCTTCCTGTAGGATTATGCACTTTGTCAAACAATGTGAGGATAGTTTACATGATATGCCGGCGTTTGCTGGTATATCTGTCTTGTCTTGTCTCGGCAGAACTGTATAAGGAAGTTAATGGAACAGGCCACTTGATGAAAAGACAAACAAGTAGGCAGTCAGGCGCTCACACACCCGCAGGCCTCTGCTGGCCTTCGGTATTCTGAGCAGCTCCTTATTTTTCATTATTGCTTCTCAGTGTGCTTTTGGCTAATAATGGTCTCCAAGGTGTTTTCAGTGCTTCGCAGACAAGAATATTAAATTGTGGTAGAATATTAATAATATATCACTCAGTGATGTACGAGGATTAGATTGTCTCCAGTTTAATATTTACAATTCATATTATTATTATTATTATTAAACGCTTCAATAACCCCTTTGTGTGTGCGTACACACACACACACGCACACACGCACGTTTACATAGTTATATGTAGGTTGAAAATAAAAGTGTAGAATGGTTTTAAGACTTTAGAAGAATGTGTAGATAAAACAACAGCAAAGACAAATGTTTGGTATCAAATCTGGCCTGGATGGAAGCCAGTGAATTGGTCGGGTAAGCTGTTTACACTCACGGACCACAAGCCCCTTTCACAGAAGATCTTTTCCTAATGCTCACCTTAAGCTCCTTCTGTCCCGTCTTTCCTCAAGCATAGTAAAGGCAGACTATAAATGTGCACATCCATATGGTGTGCACAGGCATTCTGGACCAGTAGCTGAACCTCACAACCGTTTAACCAGCATTTCTTTACATCATAACTAATTTCGAGAGGGTACATTTTTCCTTGTAGTTGCGACAGTATGTCTAAATCAACCCATTTCAACCAGTAGATGGCGCTCTGTTTGCAAGATGAGCAGTTTGAATGCTGCTATTAATGATCAGGATATTGTGCGCAATTTGCTCACTGTCATATATTTTGTATGCGTTTTCTGTCAGAGGGCCGGGCGGGCTTTGCTGTAGCTGAGGATGATGAATGGTCTCCTGCATTAGAGCTAGATGGTGTGGGGAATGATGGACCTCCCTAATGGCCAATCCAGTATCTCCACCAGTGCTGCCACAGTCTCTGAGGTAAGGCCTCATCCACGTCAGTGTTTTAAAATGCAGCCTGTGTATACCTTAACTATGAAAGGTTTTCGTGTATAATTATTATATATTAGTATTAGTCAGCTGACATATTAAATAATAACATTTTAATATATTATGTTTAGTTTTTCTTGGTGTTCATTTTACAAATCTCAAAACCTTACCAACATCACCACTCTTTTTCATTTGGTAATCCAATTCTCAGAAGCCCAGCCATTAGTTTGTGTGTGTATTTCTGTGTGTCTGACTTCCAGAAGAGCAGCAGCTCAGAATCTCTTAGTGATAAGGCATCTTCAGAGCTGAAGAAGAGTTTTGACGCAGTTGTGTTCGATGTGCTGAAGGTCACTCCTGAGGAATATGCAGTAAGTGAATTTTCTGCGTTTCTGTTACAGTCTCTTCTTTTCTGATTAACCTGCATAAATGAGGGGTTATAAATGTGCATATAAGCAAAAATCCAATGTGCTGACTTAAGACAGGAGGAGATGGGGTGATGGAGGGGGAAATGGGGTCAGAGTTTGCATCAGTAATAATTGATGATGTCTGGCAGTGGCAAGCAGCTGCTGACAGTTCCCACAGCTGCCTCTGCCCCATTTTCAGTGACTTTTCAGTGTCATCTTTGGAAAAATAATAATACTAGTAAAAAAAAAAAAAAGAAACTCAGAACAATGTCACATTTTTGTCGAACTAGCTTTACCTTACAGGATATACACATGAAAAGAACATAATCTTTTGAACGTCTGCAAGCTTTTTTTAAATACGTGTGCTTGTCTTGTGTCCCATTCCACCACAAGAGGTCACTCTTGGTCTTATTTAATCAACCCCTGATATATTAATGTCTTTCAAGGTGGTATCAGGTAAGTAAAGGAGTCTTAGGAGTAATGGGTTGTGCATTATCACAAGCCCAATTTAAAAAAACAAAACAAGGAAAAGCAGCATTTCAGTTGTTGAATTGTTATTACATCAACCTTCTTTATGACAACATGGAACTTAGATGAATTGTGACAAACGTTAGTTTGTGTAAATATTTCAATTTGACCAAAGTATATCTAACAGGTGCCTTTTTGCTCTCCTTCAGGGCCAGATTACACTCATGGATGCTCCTGTGTTCAAAGCCATCCAGCCAGAGGTGAGCAGTTAATGTGGAGAGGAAAAACGATGTTAACGGAATGACAATTATTTAAACTGAGTGGGAGGACTCAAGGGAGCTTTTTGCTTTACTCATGAGCAACTTTCAGTCCTTTGGGGCATTTGAAATCTTTAAAAACGTTTTCACATATATATTGTTGAAAATGTAAGACTGCACTCTCTGTCAGCAATTTAATTTAAGCAAATTTGTGGCATTGTGCATGTTAGTTAACTTGGGTTAAGCGTCAGGTTTACTTGGCTTTTATAACTTCAGAAGACACTTGAGTACCTTGTTCAACAAATGAACTTGTGCCCTTTGTTGATTATAATAAATAACTTCATCTTAGACTTAAGCATTGCCATATTTAGTTTCTGACATTCACTTAGTTTAGAATAGCAATTTGAAAAAAGGTGCATCAAAACTAGCAGTGGCCATTTAAGTGAAACGTGAAGACAGTAGACAGGTTTCTAAGAGGGGTGTAGCAGCTGGATCGGTTGTATTCAAAGCCAACCAAAACGAGTACACAAATACAACACGAATGTGCTAATTTTATTCACTGAAAGATAGAAATATTACTTCATCACAGATAGAGCTCAGTGAGTTAAAAACCCTGTAGTAGTAACTAGTATTTCTAGTGGATGACTGGAAAAAAGTAGTCTACTAACAAATCCAAGAGATTTGTGCCATGAACTGAAGGGTGTGTGTAAAGAGATGACTGAGATAAAGAAAAAGACTATGTATTAAACCTGTGATAAAAAGGCTAGTCATAATATTCTAATTTGTCGATATTTTTTGCCTAATTTGGAGTCGGACACTTGGCCAGTGTGCAGTCAGTGTATTCCAAGGAGCAGCGGTATTCCTGTCACCAGTCACGCTCCTGCCTCTGGTTTGCATTTTCATGTTGTTTGGGGTCACTGGCCTGTTGCAATATCAGTCACTCTCTACAAAAACAGATCCAGGGAGTGCTGATTGTCATGAGCTTTCCTCCACAGATGCCTGACCACAAACTTGTTGAAATTTTATGGAGCACTTACACTCAGACTGCCAAGTGCTTTGGGTCATGGTCAGATCATGCTGGGATAACATGGGTTATTAGGTTTTGTGCAAACTTGAATCCATCTAAGTTCAAGTGCAAACTGTCATCAAGGAGAAGGGGACAGAGCAAATCTGAACTCGGTGTGCATTTTTAGAAACATTTTAAAGCTTATTATTTGTCACGATAAACCGATTAATAAATTAAAAATGAACGTAGGAAATTGCGGTGGTGGCCAAGGTAACTTCTTTGTACATACGAAGTTTCTCCATTGGTGCCCCCAGACTTTTAAACTACATTATACATTAGGAATTCCCCCTTGCCATGCTTTTCCTTTTCCCTTTCATACATAGGGTACATGTGGTTTATGTCTAACTGTCATGTTTTGCAATAGTAAGCCACTGTGATCACAGCTCCCACGCTTTGTCATATGTCAGTTATGCGAAAAAAGGCCATCTGTATCTCACGTATTCTTGCACACCATTTCTGTTGTGAACGTTAGACCTCATGATTTGCCCCTGTTGGCTGTCAGGCCCTTTCCTGACAGACATGGATAACCTATGTTTAAGGTTGACCGCAGTGATCTTATAAAAACTGCATACAGACCACAAGCACATTGTAGCGTGGCTTAGTCTGACTCCTGCTGTGGCATATGTGCAACATTTGCATTTCTAACAGCTCATAACCTTTCTGGCCTGATATCAAGCCACGTTTTAATGAATTAGGCTTCATATAGTACAACATGCCCTTTTGAGTCTTGCAAATAGTTTGTGTTTGAGCAGTGGAAAAAGGGAAAAGAACAGACGGAAGTTCCTTAGTAGCAGCAGGCTTTGTCTGTCGTGTTTGGTTTGTTGTGAAGTACCTTGCAGACTGACGTGAAGTGGGAACGAAGGGAAAGTGAACTAGAGGCATTTGGAAAGGAGCCACTGCCCTGATTGAAGAGGCGTGCTGAGAGGGTGATGAATGCCGTAGTGTACCATATGTAGAGTGACCCAGCAGGATCTTGGCAGGTGGTAGAGTGGACTGGTAAGGCTTTTTATGCTCTCACTGTGCTTTTGTTTCAGGAAACTTGCTGGAAAAAAAAAAGTACATGTCCATGCTTGAACAGAACTGAGAGTTTCCAGTGCTGTCAACCTTCTTTCCCTCCTCACAGACACATGATGGAGGAAAAAAACCAAGCGTGTGTGTTCAGGCACTCCTGCCAATTCGCTCTGTTCACTGGCCAAAGAGGAAACTGTTAAATTACTTTTTTTTTTCTTTTTTTCTTAAGTTGTGTAATCTTGCCTTTTTTTTTTTTTTTTTTCTCCCCCAAACCTACGCTCCTCAAAAAAATTAAAGGAAAATTTTTAATCGATGTATAGCATGAACTCGATTAAACATCTGGGATATTGATCTGGTCAGTTAAGTAGCAGAGGGGGTTGTTAATCTGTTTTAACTGTTTTAGTGTTAATGAAATTAACAGCAGGTCCACTAGACACAACACCCAAAAAAGGAATGCCTTTACGGGTGGCGGCCACTATCATTTTTTTTCCTTTCTCATCTGTTCTGAGTGTTGACTAGTTTTGCATTTGGCTAAAGTCAGTGTCGCGAGGCGCTCAGGTACTCCAGCCCCCCAGGACGGCACATCAATATTCGGTTTATCGCCAGAAGGTTTGCAGTGTCTCCTAGCACGGTCTCAAGAGCATGGAGAGAGGCAGTTACTCTAGGAGAGCTGGACAGGGCTGTAGAAGGTCAAAACCCATCAGTGGGACGGTTTCTGCCCCTTTGTTCAATGGGGAACAGGATGAGCTCTATAAAATGACCTCTAGCAGGGCACTAGCATGTTCTACGTGCCCGTCTGCACTAATTGCTGGATCTCATCTGCCCTTAAACTTAAATTTCCTTTTTATGGAACAGGACAGAGTTGCAAAGAGCCAAATTTGGCGAGAGATGACTCAATACTCTGTGCCAGTGCATGACGGCTTAATGACCTATGCCACAATTCCAGTACTTTGGAGTAAAGGTTCTACCTGAAATGTCTCAGGATGTAGAAAACGGCTGTTTACATTCTGGTTCGTAACCACAGACCCAGCTCTCTTATCTCATCATCTGTCATCACAAGTGGTTCTCAGTGGGTCAGGTTGACCCAGCCCTCCCTTTAACTCGATGTTTTCTCCTTGGGCAAGTTCAATGGAAATGTGCACTTGGTGATGATTGTGTTCCAGGGAGAGAACTAAACCTAGCGGAAGCATCTGAAGTCGTATCGATGTGCAGAAGGAAATTACTTTAAATGGTGCATTTAAAGCAAAATGCTTTGATTTAATTTTTTTTTAAATTTAATTTCCTATAGATGTCTTTATGGCAGTTTTTACATTAGATAATCCAAGCTTGTCCAATAGCAGTTTCATGGTTGAGCTGCTCTGTTCTTCCAGTCCTGCACTTAATTAACTAATAACTTCCCTAACTACATTAAATTGGCTGAAATGACCATAAAGTAGCTGTGACTTGACCTTTTGGTGTTTGTGTTCTAGCTTTTTTGCTTTCCTCTCTCCATAAACACATCATAACTGTCTTAACATAATAATGTGAGAGCTGGTGTGAGACAGTAGGCCACAGAGAGAAACTTGCATGCATACATGACACACAAGCAGATATTCTGGCATGACCTTGCAATATTTGCCCCAGACAATATTATAGTAGAACAGAGCTTCTCAGTAATTTGTGTATTTTGGTCATGACTTGAGGCATATGTATGGAGAGGAGCTTGAGAGGTCTAGCCAAGTTATCTGGATGAAGAAGAAAAGATAAGTCTGTCACAATAGCTATAAAAGATTACACGGGACCCGTGGATATATACAGCAAAAATGGTGTGGAGAGATGCTATAATGTCTGGCCAGCCACTTTGAACAGGAAACATAGTTTATTCTATTTATCTTTTGATTGGAAAAGCAGCGTGAGCGTCAGGTTTAAGAGATCAGAGTATAACATGTCTGTCCTTCACAGCAAACACAGAATCTAAACACATCTGCTTCTTATGATGCGTAAGTGACAGCTCATAAACCTTTGCCAGACCTGAGGGTTGTTGTAATTTACTTCCACTACGTAATGGACCCTCATCAATGCAGTACAAAGAGAAATTAACAGAGCTTGAGAGCATTGTCAGTGTCTTTGTGCTCAGTTTGGAGCACAGGTATAAATAATGGAAACACCAGAAGATTTTTTTTTTTCTTTTTCAATGGTAAAATAATCTATACTGCAGACCAGACTGAGCTACAACCCCCAAATGAATTTGTTATGTTCCTTGGCTGTTGGTTTGCCATTAAAGTGACAAGATGGATCACAGAGAGAGCGGGAGGAATGGATGTGGGGGTCTTGTTGCAAATCTTTTTCTCTCATTTGAACTTACAAAGTATTGACTACTAATGGATTTTAGCGTTGGCTGGTGTTTATTGTTTGAACTGGAATGTATAGCTGCTTGCTATAGTATGGTTGATCAGCTGACAAAAGGGGGAAAAGTAAAATAAAAAAGGTAAATTATAGATGAATTTGGGTGAAATAAAGTGACAGTGGCTGACTTTTTCACCCTTCCTTTTCTCAGTTTTTCAGTCCCAGCAGGGTATTTCTAATTTCATAATCAGATCTCCAGCTGGATATTATGAAATAAAAGCTGCGGGGGGGGAAAGTAGTTGAGTGATGCAGAGCGGATTGAGAGGCAGAGGGTTGCCTTTTTGTTTTTAACACACAGTCATGACAACAGCCAAGTACGTAATTTTGTGGCTTTGGCTGGCAGGTTTTGCTCCAATTCTCAGGGAACTATCAGATTGCATTTTACGTACCGCTGAAAAGTATGTCAGATCCTCACGTCTGAGAACCCAGAGCAGAAATCCTCAGAACAGGCTGACTTGTAGTTGGACGCAAGTTATGTTTGTCTTTCTCAGGCCTATCTTGGCTTAGTCTCTTCCAGCCCTGGATGCCAGATAAAGTAACGTTTTCTAAAACGCCTTTTGCTGTCCATACAATTACAACTATAAGAGAAGCATCACGTAAAGGTTTCTGTAGGTCCCTGTAGATCTGCACAGGACTAATGTAGAGATTAAACTTTTATTGCTGCACAACAAACGCCGGGGGAAATCTTTCTTACACTGCAGCCTGTCAGCATGATGATCTGGACATGTTGATCACAGTGAAAGCTGGAGAAAATAATGCTTTGGTAGTAGAGACAGAAGAACCACATGGACAAATTTTCCATTGTCAGAGATGATTTAGTCCAGTTTTACTGCAATATGGTCTTAATTATATTTGATGTTTGTGTAAGCATATATCATCTTTGACAAATACAGTTTGATGTCTTCTTTATAGCAACACGGCTTCTTCTGGTTTGAGTATAATAAAGCATAAAATGAGTGTACTGAATTACATAAATAAATGTACTTTTAGAAAAGTAATTCTTTCCACGGTGTGTGCATAGCCAGGTAATGGGGGCTGCTGCTGCTGGCTTGAGTTCCTGCCAAGTCTATAGTTCATGACTGTCTGAGATGAATGTATTTTTTTATTTTTTTATTTTTTTTTGTCTTAAGACAACAGAAACAAAATAGCAAATCAATAGATTCTAAACTCTCGATCGGCGCACAGACAACCAGAGTCCAGTATCGGCCCTCCTGTCACTTAAACTCTTATCTCTACAGTCTCCTCTCTGCTTTTATCAAGCTTCATTTCAGTTTCACTGCCTCCCCTTTCTCATCTTACTTCTCTTTCCGTTCTGTTTCTCATCTTCATCAGCTCTTCCTTTCTTGGCCTGTGGGCTTTAACTGTTTCCTTGCATCTCGACACAGGTTTCCATTAACAGAGTAGATAAAAGAATTTTAAAAAAGGAAGTGCTGTGATAGCTCACGCGAGCTCATCGCGAATGGTGGCCAAGCAGCAGCTTATCGTTTTATTTAGCTTTTGCTAAACAAACCAAGTCAAACTTTGGTGATTATGAAGATGTATATGGTCCGTTTTTTAAGAAGTTTTAAGATTGTTGTGGCTGATGATGGTGTCTCATTTATTTTAATGTCTTTGGTTGATGATACCCTTTAAACCACCTCGGCTATTGTTTGTCACTTGTAGGTCGTATAATCAATCGTTCAGCCAGAGGTGACTTCAGATTTCTTTAACAGCTCTTAGTTTAACTGTACAGACCCAACAATGTAAATGTATCTGGCTCCTATCAGCCCCACGGGACTGCGCTTTAATGAAAATGCTGCTCAGCCAGACCAGCGTGTGGAAACGACAGGCTGTCTGTGGTTTGGCGTAGCAGACGTTTTGGTTTTTTTTTCTTTCTTTTACTGCACTCTTTTACTGCAGAATTTTAAACCCTCTCCTTACCAGAGCTGCTTTGTGAAAGCCCTTCTCCAAACACTCAACTGTTGTCAGAGTTTGTGGTGCCTTAGTGTGAAATGAGGCTATAAAGGACCTGGGAAAAGTAAAGGGAATAAAATCCTAATGGCCTAATGGTCTCACATGAGGAAACTGGACTTAAATGATTTCAAACACGGATGGGTGGTTAAATTAGAAGACTGGCCCAGGTGGTTTAGTGATGAAGGTTTTGTACAAGTTGTTTAAATTTTGTCGCCTTCCCGAGTGACGACAAAACACAAACGTCTGTCTGTATGCCCCCTTTTCAGGTGTTCAGCCTACCTGGGTGGGCAAGTGGTGGTTTGAGCACACTAGCGCTACCACTTCCTAACTGTGTGTTTGTTTTAGGAGTCATCACCAAAGTTATGTGGAAGTGAAGGAGAGAAAAATGATTGGCATTATGTCAGGACACAAGGAAACAATTATTTGAAAAGGACTGATGTAAAATAAACAATTAGGGCACTATTTTAGCTGTATCCTGTGACGGGGACGGCACAGTTAAACACACCGGAGTCCCCGCGTGGTCTAATAAAACCTTGTGGGAAGATGCTGTGTTAGGGTTTCTGCAGTGTTTTATTTTACAGCCTCACTGCTGTGCCTGCATCTTTGCTCCATTGCACTCCTTTTCCCTTTCCTCGTATCCTCATCCTGACTCAGGCAAAATGGATCCCAAGCATCACCTCGCCCACGCACGAGTGTCTGCTTTTAACATCTGTATTTGATATGTTGTATCTTTGCTCCCACCGGCGGATTCAGCTCGGAGACTCACCGTTGAACGAGCACAGCTTCTCTTTAGAAGTAGACACGGTGATACGGTCCAGTTCAGGGAGCTGCGAGCAGTTGGGTGGAGATTGCTACTTCCAGACAGTCTGACTGCCTCACAGGGGGTATTGTGTGGGGGAGCAGCAGTCTCTTTCAGCTGCTTATATTGTAGCCTAAGTCAGCCATGCTGGCAGGGATTAGCAGGAGAGCTTGCACAACATTTTTCCTACTGTTATGTCAGTGTCCCTGGATTGTGGACAGCCTGCAGGGGCCATACGAGGTCCCGGGTTCCTGTTGCAGTGCAGTGTGTGGTCTCCAGCTTTACCTAATCGCTGAGGACATCAGCTGAAAGCCACACTCACTCTGGCCTGGTATTCAGAAAGAAATTAGTCTTTTAGGAGGGGATTTTCTTTGTTTACCTTCCAAAAATCACTTTTTTTTTTTCTTTCGATAACGTGTACCCTAATTATTTTCCAAAGCAGCTGAAGCTGCTGCTCCTCTTTGTGCTGAAGTGATTAATTGAGAATGTTTTGACAGAAAATCAGTGAGCAGGCATTTCAGTTGCCCACATTAAAATGATCCACGATGACAAAAGCCATTCCAGTGCTAATTACATCCTCTTACATGTGTGTCAGTACTTTTACATTTTAGTGTCTTTATGTTTTTAAGCTCAGCAAAATACATTGCTTGTGCTTATTTAAATCCTCAGTGTGCAACAAATGCACCTTTGCACCAAAATGTCTTAATTTAAATTGTTACCATTGTTCTGTGCTTTGGTTTTGCCACGGCACAACTGCCATCAGTTGGTTGAAGTGAGCATCAGATTTATTTTTAATGACACAAAAAGAGGAAAAATGACTAGAAAAACAATGATTAGAAGCTAACACTTAAGTTTTTTCTGTTTTGCTACTTTGTTTTTTTTTTTTGTCTGGTCCTGTCTTTGCACCCCTTTACGAAGAATCCTTTTAGTCTTTGATAATATTCATCTGGATTGAGAGGCACACATTTTGCATCAGTTTAAAGAAAAGTTGACGTTATTCATTTTACACTCATTTGTTGTCAAAGGCAATTGTTTACAACATGCTGTCCTCATTCTTCACTGAATCCTTGCATGCTTGTTGCTAATACCTTCCTTGAGGTGTTGTTTGTCTGTTATCAAAAGCGGTGAGTTTAGAACATGGATAAGCTTACCAGCAGGTAATTTGTATCCATCAATTTATTGTTCAGGAGACTAATTATTTTTGAAGATCTGGTTGATTTTGTTGAGGATTCAGCCAGCTGTTTTCTCTGCGGGGGAAATTCCAACAATTACTCCTCGTCTAGATGAAAACGTGTATCAGTGGAAAGCGCAGACTTTACTGATGAAGAACATGTTGTTTTGGGCAGCAGTTCATTAATCTGTCCGAACCTTTGCCTCGATCTTGTCTTCAGCGGTTTTCCCGTTCTCGTCTGTGTTTTTCTCCTCTTACGTTGTGCTCCCTACCTCTGGTACTCTCCCCACAGTGTGACCCTGACTAGACTGTTAAATACATCAAATAAAATGCTGGCGTATGCAAAAAAAGATCTGTGACTCGCTACATAATCTTTATTTCCCCGATTCTGTGATTTCAGGAGCTGTCAAGTTGTGGCTGGAACAAGAAGGAGAAGCACAGCTCTGCTCCAAATGTTGTGGCCTTTACCTGCAGGTTCAACCAGGTGAGACGGGGATCACCATTTACACTTACTGCCCTTTTATTTCAAATCATTCTAAAGCCTCAACAGAGAAAGAAGGAAAAAAGGATGAGAAACAGTCCTGCTCTAAGTTTATAGATTTATGTGTCTTGGCTATCCAGGAATGGAGGGAATAAAGTTCTTCTTTCCACCGCATCCCCTGCTTTCATTCTTCCATGTACCAAATCATCAACTTTGCTTTCCCAGAGGTGGTTGTTTTAAACTGTTTGTCATGGCAGCTCTTTATAGTCCCTTATGTCACCTCCCTGCTATTGACAGAGTTATATATATCATAAATGGTCCCCAGGTGATGCTGCTTTGAGGAAAAGTAGCTTTTTTTTTCCCCCTTCATTTTTTCTTGTCCTTGGTTTTTCCTTCTTTCTGGCATTCATGGGGTTTTGCATGTGTGCTTGTAGGAGTGCGTCTGGCTTGATCCCTCAGTGCCCCGTGACATCATCAAACAGGAAGTTGTTGGTAATGCTTCAAGGGGTAGCGGTGCCCTTTAATCCACTTCCAGTGTTTCTGCCAAATTCCTCTGGGACCCTCTTTACTGCCCTCCAGTACTAATATGAGATTATCTAACTGGAATGCGTTGCTGTGGAAACTTCTCCATGTATAGCACACCCCAAACAGGGATTCAAGATGTTAGCTGAACACACACAGCTGCCGGCAGCCAAGGAAAATGAGCTTTTTGGATAATGGAACCTGGACTGGGAGGACAGAGAGTCCCAGAAAGCCCCGTAATTGAGCTAAAGCCATATTCTCTGTCCTCCGGTCTTTGTTTTGTTGGCACACTGCTTTCGGAGCCAGTGAAGCAGAAAAGAATTGGCTAGCTCATTTGATACAATATGATGAGTGCACTTTAATCGTTCTTTAGTTTTCTGTAGAGACAAATTGGGACCTTTTTATTGAATAAACAAGGAATCAGATGGTTAATAAAGATGTAATGGTCATGAACCTAAACAAATTAGAATTGTTGTGATTTTTTATTTTTTTTTTTTTTTTTTTTCCCCCCCCCCTCCCGAACTCATCTTTACTATGGAACATACGTTAGCAGCACATCTGGATCATACCATCATTAGCCAAATCTTGGTCTCGATCCTTTATTTTTCTCTCCTCAGGTCATTAGTTGGTCACTCCACATATCAGCTCATGTTTGGATCTGTCTGCTTCCTCTTATTTATGATTATTGAGATCTTGGGGCCTTGTAGCTCCATCTGGAGGCATTGATACGGTCATAAACACAGTCCCGAAAACATCATCGTTGTTTCAAGGCATACCCCTTACAGACACGGCCCTGTCTGGGAAGCCCTCTCTCAGGCACACTTGAGCACTTTGTGAATGCAACTATCTAGAGCGCTGTTGTCATGAGTGATCTCATCATTGCACAGTTTTTGAGGCCAAAGCAGACACAGGCACATGCTCTGTAACGAACCCCAAAGGGATCGTGATTTTTTGGAGCCATGCTCCGTCCAGATTGACCTCAGATATCAAGTTAGACCGCTGAGGAACCTAAATGTGAAGCTACAGCATGCTTTGCTCCCAGATTGGAATCAAATTTAGTCATTTACTGGAAAGTCTTTTCTACTGCATAGATGAGGCGAAAGTTAAATGTAACAGGATTTCAGTTTTTCATTTTGAAAGTGGGAGCTGCTTCTTTATGGGAGGTCATTTCCTCAAAGCAGTAGATGAATATTAAAGTGGACGCCAGTGGAGTCGGGGTCCACCATCTGTGCTGTGTGTCTTCTGTCCATTTTCATCATCCTTTCCCATAAAGCTTAATGTGAAACGGTGAAAATTAAAAGCACATGGCTCTGTTTCCTGTCAATGCTACCTCATAGTAATATGTGTTTATAAGACAGGACATGGTGAGGGAGAATGAATTTATCTGTTCACTCCTGAGCTCCTCACCTCACCTCTGAAACAAAGTCTCAGTGCTGTTTCCAGGAAAAAGTCTGCAGAGACAGCTATAGGTTAGGATTTATGCACAGCCTGACTGTTTAAAAGCACAGTGAAGCTGCCGCGCGCACACACACTGAATTTGTAGATGGAGACACACAAAAAGGAACGTTGACCACATAGGCAAAGCCAGTTAATGTGCAAGTGGAAAAGTCAGAAAGTAATTCAGAAACTGAAAGAGATAAAGAGTTTTGTGTTCGACGAAACAGTAGGGATGGTCAGTCTTCGTCTCTTATCAGAACACAATGTGCAGACAGCTGTTGGCTTTGAAGCCCTTAGAGCCCTGTGGCGTTGAAGCTAACTTCCCCTCCCATTACCCCTCTTCTTCTTTTACTCTTCTCCCTTTTCCTCTTTCCATTCTCTTCTTCTCCCAGGAGCTTAAACACTGATTGATTCACTGACTTGTCTGTCTGCGTGCATGTGTAATCAGAGCTCTGGTTTGCCAGCGCTCTCCCTAAAGAGACAGGTTTCCGACATCATTCTCGGTCTAGCCAACTACTCTAAAGACACGTATTCCCTGTTTCCTCCTGCTTTCTTAGCTGAAGTATCAGGAGTTGTCGTGCGTATCCCTTGTGCATCAGCTGGATTTTTCTCTGAAGGTCTTTCTTTTACTCTAGAGCTAATTTCCAATTGACTAATGTAGCGTTTCTGCAGTTTGCCATGCGCTCTGCTGCTCTGCTTTATAACCGTTTTAATTAAGAGTTGTCACACAGGTCTTCAAGTCTTGGCTCTCGATTCAACATCAGGAGATTTTGTGAAGCAGAACTACCCTTTGTCCTTACTTGAAAGGGATTTTCTGTAATACTTGGTCATTTGTAGTCCTTGTTTGTGAGTATTTTTGTTTGTTTGTTTTCTTTTCTTTTCTAGACAAGTTTCTGGGTGGTACGAGAGATCCTCCATGCACAGACGTTGAAGATCAGAGCCGAGGTGCTGAGTCTGTATATTCGCACTGCCAAGGTACACAAGTCCACCCAGGACATGACTTTGTTTTATCCACACGAATGTTTGCTGTACCAATTCAACTTAATGTATGTTTGATGTACTCTACTACTACTCACAGAAACTGTGTGACATGAACAACCTCCATGCAGTAATGGCAGTGGTGTCAGCGTTACAAAGTGCTCCCATCTTCAGGCTAACCAAAACTTGGGCGGTGAGTAATATTTGCTGTGCTTTGATGTCACAAGTTTATTAGTAGAGTGCTGTCAATAAGCAGGAATTTCCCCAAAGCCTGCACCAAAACACTGGACACATAAACGGAGAATAATAAAAGTAGCACAAGTGACATGGCGTAATGAATAAAAGAGTTAAAACTTTCAGAAACTTTAATTTCACAAGGAAAATGAGACGTTAACAAATACACTTCCCTTGAACTCTGATTACTTTTAGAAAGATGTCAGCGTCTCAGTGAAATGCCAAGTATCTGTACGCGAACTTGACACGATCTTTATGGATGGTGAACATTTTGAATTCATTATTCAATTTTAAATCAGTGTCTGTTTTACAAACATGTCTGTCAGTGTTCTCAGCGAAGATGTAGAAGTTACATAATAACATAATGATGTTGTGATGTAATGCTGGAAATTTCTTGAACTCTGGTCTGGAAAACCACAGGAGGTTCTTTTAAAAATATTTTTATATTTTATATGGTAAAATCTTTCCACTTGTACATCTTAGCCCTAATTTGTTCCCTCCTTATCCCTGTCTTCGTGTGTAGTTACTTAATCGTAAGGACAAGGCAACGTTTGACCGGCTTGATTACCTGATGTCCAAAGAAGACAACTATAAACGCCTGAGAGACTACATCAGCAGCCAGAGCATGGTTTCTTGCATACCATACCTAGGTAACAGACACAAATCTACATGCATGCATAGCGGGTAACTACTGCACCCCCCCCCCCCCCCCCCCCCCCCCCTCTTCTTAACGAAAGTTGAAGTTTTTAGATTCTAATATAGGATTCTGGTGCAAATAAAAAGCTGCACCCCCCCCCCCCTCATTTCTTTATATTTTACTTCCAAGAAATAAAGCTTTTTTTCTCTTGTGTTGAGGAAGAAATGGTAGTTGGAGGAAAATTTTGTTAAATTGCTATCAGACTATGTTCAATGGATTTCCCCCCCCCCCCCCCCCCCCGGTAAAACCAATGAGCTATGAACCCTGTAAGCACAAAAAGGCATCCAACCCAAGGGATGGACATATAAAGAGATGGGGACACATTTTGTGTTGCTGTGACACTCTGCCTGTAGAAAAGTGCTTAAAGATAACAATTTGACAGTATCTTATTCACCAAAGCTGATATCCAAAGAGCTATTAGTCAAACGTATATCTCAGATGAACAGCAGATGAACAGTATTTGAAAGTCATGAAATGAGGAAATACAAATCCAGCAAAGACCTGACACAGGACCTGTGGAGTACATCTGGCCCTTCAGTCGATCCATTTACTGTTTGCCAAAGCCTCATTAGTAATGGTCTCAGTGGATGGGTGGCTGTCAAGAAGCCATTCTTAAGAAAGAGAAACTGGGAGAAACGCCTGACGCATGCCAAATTACACATGAACTGGACTGAAAATCAGTGGCAACAGGTCTGATGGAGTGATGAATCCAAACTTGAAAGCTTTCATTCAGATCATCTGCGGTATGTACGACGGGGTCGCGCAAGAGGTACAACAGTCCTTTAGGAAGCCTGGAGAACTATCCCTGAAGACTACTTAAATTACCAGAAAGCTGAGCTAAAAGAGTTCAGACTGTGTTTAAGAATAAAACTGGTCATACCAAATACGGATTTTTGAAGACAAAACCCTTTTTGTCTTTTTATACTGTATTTCCACTTATGTTTGCTCATTTAAAAAAAAAAAATCACTACACCCAAGAAATGATGAGGCTTAGCACTTTTGCCTGATTTTGATTTCTAGAAATCAACAATGGCAAAAGATGAAATAAAAGTTAACGTTGGTCTGGTTTAAGCTAGAGAAGCTGATGCGATGTAAGATTTTTGCTTTGAAAGCACTTTTATTTCCAACCATAAACTTTGGATTAAAAAAAAAAGGCAGTTGGAAGTCCAGATTTCCATTTTAGCATTTTTGCTGACTCAACACAACACCACATGTTTTATCCAAATTGCTCATATGCTGTAAATTAAAAATTGATTCATGTAGATATAAAGCGAGGAATAAATGGGTGACTAGAGAGTTATTGTATTTGCTTGTACAACAGGTGCAAGGTGGTTTATTCCAACATTTGAGTGTGAGTAATGTTCTTGAGTAACATCAAACCTTGTATATCTCAATAGTTTGTTACACCATGGGAGACTAGATGACTAGAAGACTTTTTATTTAGCAATAGTTTTTTTTTTTTTTTTTTAATCACCTGTGTTTGACACAGTTTGTACCATATAACCAAAAGGATTGAAGATGCATTTCTAAATAACTTTGAACTTGCTCAATAATTTAGCCCTTCTCTGCAGAAGTAGCCGTAATGGTTCTAGTGACTCACATATTTGGGATTTTTATCATCGTCTATAACAATTTCAATGGAAAACACTAAAATAAACAAAAATAAATGATCCCTAGTTTACTTTTAGTATCCATTAAGATGCCTTGCACTCAGCTTCTTATCTTTATGGGCTAAAGGTTACTTTAATGACAAGCGTCTGGGTTTGAAAAGCCAAACTTCCTGCTTGCGTTTGTCTTTACGTCACTACGACAGTCATTTGTCAGTCAGTAAGCAGTAAGCTGTCTGTTTCCTCAGAAGCTTTCGCATCTTTGTAACACATCATTGATTCCCC